AAATTTATATAAACAAAAAAATAAATAAAAGCAAAATAACATAAATTAAAAAACACATAAAAACATACAATTTAGAAATATAAAAAGTAAGATATTAGGAAATAAAAATTTTAAAACTGGCGATTTCAAGTTTAAGGTATCAAATAAAGAATAAAAATGAAACTAAAGTAAGAAGATTAAATTTTTTTAAAGTTTAATATAATACTAATAAAAATTTTTTGTTGCTATTTTGTTAGTGTTAATAAACAATCAAGGAATTAAAATATTTGAAATAGTAATCCACCACAATACACTATATCTGTAACAAATATCATTGACTTTTTCATATCGACAGGTTTATTTGGCAGAAAAGTCGTCAAGACAGTAAAGGCCAAGACCAAGATTGAATGCTTTAAGACCAAGATATCAAAAATTTAACCCAAAACCAAGACTTTAAAAGTTTTTACAAGACCAAGATCAAGACTTATGTTCTAAGAAGTCTAAAACAACAAGACTCATGCTCACACATGTTTGTATACTATTAGGCCCTTAGTTGGTGTAATATTTTACCATTTACAGATAAATTTTTTATTTCAAAACAACTTTTTTTGTATTGCTAAAAAAAACTACCAATAAAAAATCTAAGAACGTATAGCAGCCATGGTAGTCCAGTAGCCATATTCTTCAGCATAGTATCAACCAGCCTGGCACATTTTGGTCACATAATTAAATCCCTCTGGCTGAATACCCGCTCTAATGGTGCAAAAGAAGCTGGAAGACAAAAAAGCTTCTCTAGCAGAGGGTTTATAATATTGTAATATTCGGCAGATTATGGCTTTTCATTTTCATTTTATGGAAAATTAAGCATTTTCTCCATATATGCTTGATGCAAATAAAACTATTTTTTCCATGAAAGCAGTAACATAGTTGGTGACAAAGGAACAACATTCTTTGAGCATCCTTTCCGAACTCAAAATCTTCACAAAAAAGAGTGCTTTGATGTGTTAAATTTGCCAACTTTGAGCATTTGGCTAATAAACTGTTAGCTGTTTTCAGATGAGTTAGTCCATCATTAACACACAGCTACAATGAATATGCATAGCATGCTAACCTTTCAGTTGCATGTTGCTTGATAGCTTTGTTTACAAAGCTATCAAGCTACAATGACTAGGTTTTCTTCATGCAGACCATTCCACATATCTTTATCATCAACTATAACAATATGTTCAGATTCTCCTTCACTCTTATTTGCCTGTCTCTCACTGAGCACATCAAAAGATTTTTTCTTATTTGAGGCTTAATTGGTAACAACATATTCTAGCTTTGTTCTGAGTTGATTTTGCTCAAATGATGTTATTTAACTTATCCGCAATTAACTGGCCATTTTGCCTTTCTTTGACTTGATGAAAATCCAAAAAAAAATTTTGGAGCTTGCCTTCAGAAAACTAGTGTCCAGTGCATGCAAAATATGCATTCTTTTATCAGTCCATAAGTCATGGCTATACGCCCAATGGACAATTCTGTTTCCCGAAGGTTTTTCAACAGCTTGATATATAAGTCTGTTTTCCCACTTCGAGCTTGCATAATCTGAGATTTAATTGCCTTAGAATTATCTAGGAGAACTGCGGAAGGAGGTCAAAGCAATTACCATATTTTTCTAATGATTGAACAACCATTGCTGCACTTTCGTCACATAATGGAGTCCACAATGTGTATCTGTTTGACCACAATTAATACAGGTGAGATATATTAACGAATCAACAAGAGTAACATCACAGGCTACTCTTTCCAACACTTTACTGACAGCAAGATTTCCTTTATCCCACGAAACCACATTAGGATCAATTGAATTACATTCATCAAATTCAGCGACAATTTGTTTCACCGCGTCTCAGTTAATGTGAATACCAGCACACGAGCATAACTCCATACTCTTGGAAACTCCCATGTGTGCTATTACATTTTCTTTTTATTTCATTTTATTGCTAGGACAATAAAATGAAATAAAAAGAAAATGTAAAAACTTTTTTACATAACTACGTGACATAATTGGCCTTCAGTTACTAACTGTCGTAACTATCATGCAAGCTTAATTTTTCAATGAATTAACTTTTGCTTGCTATTTTAATTTACATGAGGAAAATAAAAAAACGAAGCATTTACTTTTTCAGAACGTTTTGTTTCTTTTCGATATTCTTTTTGACTTATAAAATAATAAAAATAAAGATTTCGATAACTTGATAAAAGTTTTATTAAAATCTGTTTAAAATAACACACAGTAAATGTAATTTATTTATATAAACGTATTTATATAAATAAAATAAACATAATTTTTTTAAATTATACTTAATTATATATAATATATATATATATTTTTAAATGTTTTTTAATTTATAATATGCATTTAATTCAAAAAAACATTTCATTTTTAAAATTTTGTTTACCCCAATTATCTCTTTTTTAATTATCTTTAATTTAGAAGGCGCCTTAAAATCATTTTTAAAATTATTAACCTTTAGTAAAAGTTAAATGAACAGGTTTGCTAATATTTAAATCAAAATTTTAAAATTAAATAATTAGTAAATAAGTTTATTAAATACTTATGTTATTTTTTCAAATAGTTTATTAAATGCTTAACAAATTTGTTTATTAAATGCTTATGTTTTTAATTTAAATACAAGACCTAAAACTATTTTGTTAACAAATATTACGTGATTTAATATATTATTCAATGTAAATATTGATTAAAAATAGTTTAAGGTATTTAAACATTTAAACACTAAAATTAAATTTACTAAAATATAGTTAATAAATGTTTAAAATACTTTAAACAATTTTCAATAATTATTTACTGTTAGCGTGGTATTTGCAACAAAAGGGTTTGTTTAAGTCTTAAGTAAAATAGCTTTTTTATTGAATCTAAAGTAACATCGTCAGGCTGTCAAGCAGCAACTTTCGAAAAAAATGACAAAAAATGATGGTATTTTGAGAATAAAAATGACAAAAAATGAAAAAAAATGACTGATTTCATTATAAAAATGAAAAGATCAATAATTTTATTTTGAAAATAACAAACAAAATCATCCGCCATCACTAATTTTTTTAATTTTCATCAAAAATGAAAATCTCAACATCTTTTTGTTGTTTAACATGCAATAAAATGTTTTTCTTAAGTCTAAAATAACTAACATAAATAAATAAATTTTGCTAACTAATTATAACTGAACCAACAGTTCAAGCTCTATTATATTTACAAAAACTTTCAAACTTTACGACTACTTTAATTTTTTGCAACGCTTAATTATTCTATTTATTTCACTTTTACGTTTTAAACCAATATTTTCTCTCAACGTTTTCTGTTCATTTCTATGAGATGTAGCATTTTCAAGACTTCTTTTTGCGCTGTTTATCATTTCATGGGCAATTTTTATACCCATCATGTCTTCCTTAACCATGGCACTTTGCATAGATTTTGCTGCTTCATCGATCATTCTCTGAGCAAGCTGAAACTCAAAATCTGTATTTTTTTCATCATTCTTTAGACTTTTTTCCTGTTGATCTAAATTTTTATTTTTATTTTCAACTTTTTCAAGCATTTCTTTCTGTTCTTTTTCTTTATTCATTAGTTCATGAATATAATTTTTTCTCTTTTCTTTGTCTTTTTCAGCTTTTCTTTTTATATATATTTTATGAGCATTTTGAACAGCTTGAACAATGTCTTTGGAGAGTGCATCAACATTATATGCTTCTTTGCAACTTCTTGCATATTATTTTGATATTCTCAAAGCCATTAACGTTTCATCATTTAGATTTACTCTCCCAGGAGTCAATGTATTTTTGTTATCAGATAAACTTCGCTCAGCACTGGCATTTCCATTCTGAATTGTTAAACAGCTCTTAACAACTTTACTGAGATGCCCATACTTTGTTTTTCAAACTCTTGTTACTTTCAAAAACTTTAGCCCAATAATGGTCTACTCTTTTTAGTTTTTTTGTATCAGAATCTATATACCAGTCTTTTGATATATTAGCTGCTTGGTATAATTTCCATTCATCTTTCACAAATGATACCTGTACAAAAATTAAGATAAAATTGTTATGGAGAAAGTATTAACATTTAAAATTAAAGGAAAATTTATTTATATTAAAATAGTTCGTTAACTAATAATTTACAAACAACAATTTCTGATTTGTAAATTAAACTATATATATATATACATATACATATATATATACATATATATATATATATATATATATATATATATATATATATATATATATATATATATCATAATTTGTAAATTAAACTAATAATTAATAAACTTTGAAAATGTTAAATAATATATTTATTGGTTAACGTACTCTGCTATTTTAATTATATAGTAGATTATGTTAACAATATATATACTTATATTATTTAAATTTTTCAAAATTTACTTATTATTAGTTTAATTTACAAATCAGAAATTATGATACATATATATATATATATATATATATATATATATATATATATATATATATATATATATATATATATATATATATATATATATATATATATATATTTTATATATATATTATTTTACAGTTATTTAATATAAATTTATTTAAATATTCACCTCCCTTTCCGTAATTACATGTGGCATCATAACTGCTATTCTCCCAATTGCATTAACAGTCCAAGGTTCTGATCTCATTTGAGCACCCAAACAAGTCATATCTTTTAATATCTGCGAATCAAGTGGAAGTTTTTTTTGCAAGCGTTTTACAACAGATATATATCCATCTCTTATTTGCTGTAAGCAGATATATCTTTTTTTTTCACATGATATTTTGTTCACCTAAGACATATTTACATTGAAAATCTACATCAATGAAAATGAATAAAAAAACTTAATTTTCAATAATATAATATCTAATGATTAATACAATAAACAAAATAGTTTACATTGCCTAGTACACTTACTTATACATAGTACCAAGTACACATTTACCAGGCAGCAAATGTGCAACTGGTAAATGTAGCAAATGTGTACCTATCAAAAATTACCTGGTTTTTAGCTTCCTAGCCAAAGTCCATTTTATTCAAATCAAGGTGGATAGTTAAATCAGAAGAATCAATTTTTAAAAGATCTTTGGTAAGCTTTCCATTAACAGCAGTCGGCTGAAGAAAACATTTCATTAAAGATATTAAAAGATTTTTCATTTTATAAAATAAAACATGAACAAGTGGTCCTTCATCTTGAAATTTTGTCAAGTATTTCTCAAACAAGGGAGCTAAACCAATAAGGAATTTGATGGACACAAGTAACTCCTTAAATAATCAATTCTCTATTATATGTAATAATTCAAAAAAATAATAATAAGAATAACTTTAATTACATTTTCAGTTTCCTTAAGACTTCTTTGAATCCGAATATAACACTTGTTGTTTGTCAGTGTCTTTTATACTCCTTTTGTTTCCAACTTATCCAGGGTCCGAATTAATGGGATTCTACTGTATAAAATTACTGAAATCATTACCTTAAACCAGGTATGTAAATCAAATGCAAGCTGCTCAGCATCCTCACTGACAACATTAATTGCTTTTCGAAAAGCATTATGCACTGTGTGCAAAGTGCAACTTACAAATGGTAACAAGCCATTAAAACCATTACTATGAAGATCAGCATTTAACAATCTCCAAATGGCTTTGTTAATATTAGGACCATCTGCTGAAATATTAAAAAGACGATCCCATGGTAAATAAAACCTTTCATTATGACGTAAATCTGCTAGCATTGTTTTGACATCTTCTGCTGTTGCTCTGCCAAAGAACAGCAATGTTAAATATTTTGTAACAACTTGGTTTTCGTCTTCTGACCTAAAACAACATAAAAGATCCATTTGTTTTCTTTGTTGTGAAGTAGTTGTTTCATCAAACATTAAAGTTAATGCACCTTGACTTAACGTGATACTATTACATAAACGCTTTTCCAACAATGGCCCAAGGCCATCTTGCAAAATATATGAAGCTTTTTGCCGACTCATAGTAAAACCTTGACTTATTTTACTATCTGGAAACATTCTTTGGAACAATATTGGTGTGTTGTCACAATGTCTTAAGGCAAGATCATTCTCTGCCACTTTAAAAAGCCACATGGCTTCTGCAGCAGAAATTTTTTCATTTATAGAGAACTCTAATTGTATAACTTTTTCTCCCCCAATAGAGTTTTTGTTAGAATCTACATATAAATGACAAGCAGTTTTTGAAAATCTTAAATCAGACACTGACTTATGTTTAGGTTTTGAAGAATGCTGATACAGTGCTTGGAAACAAACTGAACTGAATTTTAAATCACTTTTGCATAGTTTACAGATAGCTTATTCAGAGTTTCTTTTTTCAGCCCATAATTGAATTTTCACTAGATTTTTGTCTAACTTTTCCAACCACACATCATTCCACAAATCAACTCTTTATAATAGGATACTACTAAACATGATAAACATAAATGATTATTAAAAATTATTGTTGCAGCACTCGTTTAATTAGGAGAGGAGGAGGGGGTCACAACATCATCTTCCTCTTTCAACGTTGCCGGAAAAATGGTATCCCCAATTAAATTTGGGGTTCTTTATTGATTGTGCTTATAAATGATATTACATTCATGCGTTGCAACTTTGTTTTTTATCCATTTTGTTGGCACTCCTGTGAGTTCGTCTGCAATATTTTTTGTTATCGTTACCCATGTAACATTTACATTTATGGCATAATCTTCAACCAATTTTCCAAATGCTTGAAGCCTTTGTCAAATTAGCATTTTGCATTGCCCAGCACATTTTACAGGTTTGTCATGATTCAATCCAGAATTTAACCAATTGAATACACTATATAAATCAATTTTGATATCACTTGGGTTCCATTTCAATGCCATATTGACACCTTAAATATGTGCATTCAATTCAGCTACTTTGATATGCATTGCATCAGACTTTGGCCGGAGTCATGTTGCATTTTTTATTTTCTTGTCACCAAACAAAGCCTATCCACTTCGCGAAACTCCTGTTAATTGATCAAAATTGCATTCTGGGATGTCCTGCCAGACTATTTCTGAACAAACACAAATAGTTTTTTTTAATTAATAATCTTTGTTGCTAAATATCTCAATTTTGTATTCAAGATATTTTGTATTCAAGATAATTTTGTAACATTAAGATGAAAAAATGTTTTGTAGAACAAAAAAAGTTTTGTAGAACATAAAGTTGGTGTAATTTTTTTAGAGCATAAAAGTATATTATTATACATAAAAGTTATTACCATTATACATTAATTAAAGTATTAATATTATACATTATAACATTACAAAGTCTCATTACAAAGATTTAAATTGAAAAAATAATAATTTAATATACCAAATGACAATACATACAATATTTTTGAAACTTTTTCACTGGAACTGAATGATGTCAACTGGTGGTTTCCTTTTAGAATCAAGAAGTGGAGGAGGATTTGGGATGTTAAAAATAGTAGGAATTGCTGATTGTAACAAACGTTTTCCACCATTATTTGTAGAATAATACATTGTACTTTAAAAATGATTACTGCACAAATAAAAGTTTTTGTTTAAAAATACAAAATCTTTTTTTTCTAAATCTTTCCTAAGACAGTTGATATCCTACTGCTTACATCTAAAAATTAAACAATAAAAGAATATGTTTTAATATACTACAATAGTATATTTTAAAATACTTCAATAATATGCGGTAGTGGTGTAGTGGTAGAGCGCTCGCTTCATAAACGAGTGGTTCTGAGTTCGATCCCCACCACGTCCCTGGTAGTACCGCGCTCAACTCGTTTCTCCGCGCAGCGGCCTTGTTCGTAAAGGTTCGTGTTTCGGAGTTATAGAGTTGAGAGAGGGTTATAGCCACAAAATAAGTAGCCTCCTCGTCTGTAGTGGCCTTCTCGGCCTTGAGGAGGTGAAGTAAAATAAAAAAAAATATATATATATGCTTTAAAATACTACAATAATAATTTTATAAACTTTTTATGAAAAAAAAGTTATTATAAATAATATATGAATTAGAAAAAAAAAATACTGTCAAAATTTGCTGGACACTCCAGTCTTGAATTTGGCTTTGTTTTTAGGTATTGCAAACAAGTTTACAACATTAAATGCATATTAGTAAGTGTATACAACATGTTCTCTCATTTAATGAGACAGATTTTTAAATATGCACTTAACAAGCCATATAGATAAGAATCAAAATCATTCTTATCTATCTTATCTACAAGTTTTTTAAAAAATTATAATTTAAAAATAGTAACAAGTAAAATGTTAAATCAATACTATTAAGTATATAAGCAACTAGCAACATGTTAAATCAATACTAGTTTACAAACATTTATATTGTCTTGCCAATTTTGAATAACTTAGCTGGCATGAAAATGTTTTTTATGTTTTTTTTAAGTACAAAATTGTCTGAGCAACCCTTGAATCTTAAAACAGCTATTTTTGTTTAAAAAACTTACGTATGATACCTCAATAATTATTATAGAAACACTAAAAAAAAAATTATATTTTATTAATTTATTGAACATATAATTTTAAACATTTATTCAAGAATCAGAGTGATAACGTAAGCAACAACTTATACTTATATATAAATATATATATATATATATATATATATATATATATATATATATATATATATATATATATATATATATATATATATATATACATATATATATATATATATATATATATGCAATTTTCAATTGTTTAACGCTTAGTTGTTAGGAATAATGATTAAGTGTTGAATTTTATACATAATAATAACAGTTAATAGAAATGAGAAAAGGTAATAAAAAATGAGAGACGTGTTAAAATCATCTTTTCAATAATTACTAACTATACCTTACTTTTTAATAATAATTTAATAGAATAATAAAGCTGATTTTATTTTAGACAACTATAACATAAACAGTTGGTGATCAAAATTTTAGCAAGCAACAAAAGTAGGTAGCAATTATATATGCATATTTTCCGTCTGTGCTAAGTCAAAAACCTTCTAGGTCTGCAGTATAAATAATTTTAATAATCTACTTTTGATGTATGCTAAAGATTGCTAATGTTGTACTAAAATTTCTAAACACATGAACTGACTTTTATTAATGAGTTAAGTAGACAACATTTTGATCAATATAACATATTTTGTTTTAGTTATGTATGCATACTATCTATGAAAGATTTTAATTCTATACAGATATAATCAATATAGAATAAAATTTATAATTAATATTCATACATCCTATCTTATATCAATATTATAGAATATAACAGTATAAATACAACAAAAATGTATAAATGATAAACATTCATTTCTTATTATTATTATCAATATTATGAATATGATTATAGATATATTTATTATAAATGTGATGTCATTATAAATTATAATGACATCACAAATATAAGATAGATCTTATATTTGCGATGTCATTATAATTTAAAATTTAAAAATTTAAAATTTAAAAACTTATAGATTTAAAAAGTTATAGATCTATAACTTTTTAAATCTATAAATTTTTATATATCTTAATGTAAATGTAAACATGGACTTCTATAACCTTATATAAGGTTATAGAATCTTATATTTTTTTATTTACCTTAAAATATACTATACTATATTACCTTATATATATTACCTAATAATATATAATATATTATATTACCTTTTAACATATTACCTTATATATATATATTACCTTATAATATATAATATATAATTACAATGTATTTATTATAATATATAATTACCTTACAATGTATAGAAGTCTTATATTTACCTTCATTCAAAATAAATATAATTATATTTATTTTGAATGAAGGTAAATATAAGATTTTGTTATAAAAGAATTTTTATAATCTTTTTTCATCATATAACAATTATTATAATTAATAGAAAAACTCACCATTGTAATTTATTATTTTTCAAATTTAATAAACAAGTTCTGATAAGTTTTAAGTTGCTATTAGAAGAACGCGCGTTGCTTTTAAATTTAAAACAAGGTTTAGAATTTAAACCTATTAAAACAACGCATGCGTTAAAAATTTCCTCAAGTCTTAGAGTCCGGCTAACGAGATGTTTTAAAATCGGACTCTGCGAAACTCAAAATTTTTAACCAATCAAAACAGGGATCGATCTCAGGAAATAGCCGTTCGTTTAGATACCAAAATTTTTTCTGAGTAGCACCAATATTTTTAAAGTTTTACTTAGTAGTTATTATTTGCATATTTTTGATAGAATTAAATAATAATAAAGATAATTAAATTGTTGATTCAAAAATGATAAAAACAATATAAAAATGTTTAAATATATAAATAACTGCGATTCTCTGCTACATTTATCTGACTGTTAAAAGCGTGGTTTGTTTACATTTTCAAAACTGTTTTTCTAAAAATCTGAGCGATACAATTTAATAATTTTTACTTTTTTATTTCGAATAGTCTTATCTTGATTTGAAATTGTTTTCAGATCTGAGTATTCAATTTTTTTCTGAACAAAAATAGAATTCACCCAACACTACATTCGTAGATGTATGATACATTTATATTAAGGTATATAGCTATATACCTTAATATATATATATATATATATATATATATATATATATATATATATATATATATATATATATATATATATATATATATATACATATATATATATATATATATATATATATAATTAATAAGTATCGTGTTTTTTATTTAATAGACAAGTTGTTACCATAAAATTTCATTTGTATCCCTAGTTATATGTAACTTTGAAACATCGACTATATTTTTTCAAATTTTTTTTGTTCGTTAAAAATTAATGCTTACTACTTTATTTTTAAAATTAATGTAATACTTTTTTAAATAATTTAATTTGATTTTCATTAGCATTTATTAACTCTAAATTTCTAATTTTGAAATAGTATTGATGAAAACACAAATAAATTAGATATTGAAAAAGCTTCATAACAAGTGAAGTAATACAGCATGAAACTCCAAAATCATGGTTGAGATTCTCTGAAAAAACATGTTACAAATCTATTTTTATTTAAAACCAAGTACTATCTCCTCGTCAAATAGCCAATAAGATAAATATTGAATATTCACATATTTGAAAACAGATGACATTATGGATCTGGATAATCTGGTGGGCAACACAATGAGATAAACGTTTTTAATTAATAAAATTAATTTGCTTGATGAAACACGACAGCAAGTGGTGAAATGTTATATTCTCAGACAAAATGAATGTTGAGGTAGATATGCAAAAATATATATTATTGCTTCGTGTTCTGCTATGGCGATCACCTCAAGAGTAATTTGATTTGAATTGTACATGAAAACCAACCAAGCAAGGTAATGGCAGTGTAGACTTTTGGGCCTACATGAATTATGCAGGACTTAAATGCTATTAATTATTTGAAGGTTGACTTAATGCTGATAGAAACATTGAAGTTTTAGATAATTGCCTTCTTCAATCCTTATTTAAGAAAGGAGGATCTGCAAAATATTGAAATGCTTTTTTTATGGTTTTTCTTTGGTAAATTATTGTTTTAATATATTATTTGAAATATATACTTAACTTTAGTCCGATTGTTTTTTTAAATTAAGATAAAATGTTTAATTATTATTAATTTTTTTGGTATCTAAATCAATGTTAAGATCTTTTTTTGGATTTTCATAATGCATATAGATTTTACTTGTGTTAAAATAATAAAAGCATTTTAGTTTTCGATTTAGTGTATTTTGAATTTAATGTTTTATAAAAAAATCGTGACAAAAACAATGTGTGCTCTAATTTAAGGCCTAACAAAATCTTACCTACCTCAAAAAACTAATTTAATATCATGTCGTGGATATATATATATATATATATATATATATATATATATATATATATATATATATATATATATATATATATATATATATATATATATATATATTAGGCCCCTGCTAAGTCTAAATATTTTGAATCAAATCAAATAAGTGATTCAAGAGTTGACTCAAAAAATCTCTATTTATTTGAATCAAATCAACCTTAAATCAATATTAATAGTTTATAATGAAATTAGCTCAAGGTCATATCATATCATTATAATATCATTATAAATTTTTACAATCTTAAGTAATAACATTATTAGAATATTATTACTCTAATAACATGAAGTTGTCTTAGAAATTTCAAGATACATTGAAAAAAATTTTTTTAACTGAATTTAATTATGGTCATGCTTTGGTCAATTCTAAATGTTTTGCAAAAAATTTCATGAATTGTTAACAGAAATTCCCCTACAAGCTAACTGCCTCTGCCAAAACATGATGACAATGACTTGATAAAATGCTTAGTTTCTCTATCTAATACTAAATAAACCTTCAGTTTTTCAATTTAATTTATTTGTATTATTGTGCCTAAAAGTTATGACCATATAAAATTAACAGCCCCCTCGATTTGATCAAACTTTGCTCATTTAAATACTAAAAAAATATTATAAGGTATTTTATTAATTATTTTAGCAATAAATAGTTACAAAACGAATAAACTTTTAAAATAAAAAAATATATTTTTTGTCTCTGTTATAGCACTCTATTTTTAAAATACACTAACATATATTATATATATATATATATATATATATATATATATATATATATATATATATATATATATATATATATATATATGTTTATATATTTATATATATTTATATATATATATATATATATATATATATATATATATATATAAAGTTAAAATATACTATTGTTAATATATTTTTACATCTAAATATATTTTAAAATGGTTATACGCTATCTTTTTATTATAATCAACTTTTATATATATATATATATATATATATATATATATATATATATATATATATATATATATATATATATATATATATATATATATATATATATATATATGTATGTATATATATACTCACATCAATGTAATTATGTATTGTGATTATAGGGTAGCCTAGCAACAGCTTACTAAAAGTTAATGTTAAAAAAATATCTTTTAATCTTGAAAAAAAATTGAATACTAATATCAGTAAACATTTTAAGAAAGATCAACAGTTCATCTATCTGAAAAAGTTAAAATTTAAAAATTTCTACGCTCAAAATTTTTTTAAAAACAATTTGAAAGCGATAAACAAAACACACTAAAATAGCTATTGCTGTAATTACATTTTATTCATTTTTAGAGGTTTTATATTTAATTTGAAATATTTTATCGTGTACTAGAAGTTACTTTTATTATTATTTCCTTTTAATAAACGGCTGAATGCATATTTAATTGCTAAAAATTAGAATAATAGCTCGTTGTCAATGAGAATTTTTTTTATATTCGTTATCCGTAGCCATTTTTAAAACTTTTAAAATATGCAAACTTTACTGCGCTTGCGTATAATAACTTTCCACTTATTTAGTAAGTCTGAACGACCGTGAGTTCGCTCCTTTAAGGCAAATGTCAGTCGCATAGAGATCTTGCATAGAAATTTAAATGCAGCCATGCTTTGTTAAAGTATTTAGATCTCAGAAATAAAAAGCATATTATAAAAAAGAAAATTCAGAAGCCATTTTTAAAAAAATTAAAAAAATTAAAAAACCATTTTCTCGACTTAAAATTAATAATTTTTATTAATCTGCTGTCATATAAAAAGTGATTCCCACCCCACCTCACGACGCCACTGGATCTAAGTGTTTCTTAACTTCAACAACTTAACAGTTGGACAATTAAAACAAAAACAATTGAAACAATTAAAAACCGTCATTTTCATTCTTAATTAGCAATTGTTAATTATTTATATGGAATTTTTTGAACGCTAAAAATATCTCAAATTTTTTGAAATCTGTTCAAAAAATTTGATTTAATTTTTAGCATAAATTTTATAATAAAAGTTTGCTTTTATGTAAAAAAAAAAAAGATCAAAAAAAAGGAAAGTAGGTTAATATTTTTAAATTTATTCAGAGCGAAGCTAAACCCCGACTAATTTCAACAAAGTTTACAACTTAAAACCAAATAGCTAATAATAAAGCATAAAATTGTTAATAATTGCATTTTATTTAAAAAAAAAGGCTTTTTAAAATCAGGTTGTTTAAAAATGGGGCAGATTGGATAAATTTTTTTTTGGTTCCTTTTAAATTGATACAAACTCTAAAAAACTGCTCTATCAATGTCGAAATTTTAAAGTTCTAGCTTTGTAACTAATTTTTTAATAGTATTTAGGACCCGTTTAATATTCGAGTTTAATGTTCGAGTTTAATGTTCGAGTTTAATATTCAAGTTTAATGTTCGAGTTTAATGTTCGAGTTTAATGTTCGAGTTTAATGTTCGAGTTTAATGTTCGCGTTTAATTTTCGAGTTTAATGTTCGAGTCAGCTAATAGAAACACAACAAAGTACAAAGTACAAAAATTAAAAGCAAAACCGCAAAATTTTTATCTAAATTTCTATACTAAATGTGTTTACAAACTTTTAAGTATTTAAATAAGATTATGATATAAAATAGATAATTATAGTTCAAGTTATAATTGTTCAATTTTGATAATGAATATATTGGCGTGGTTTTTTCATCGGCAGAACAGAGTTTGTCAGTAGTATCAACTTTATGCATTCTTCCATGTTTATTTCCGACAAAGACCCAGACAAGTGGATTACAGCAATATTCAAACCTAAAAAATTATTAAAACCAAGATTATTAAAAAAAACACTTCTTACTCTTTTAAATTTAAAAAATAATGCACCCTTACTTCTGCAGCTAAATTTATAAGTAATTTTAAGTGTAAATAAATTGAATACGCTCTTGTCTGAGTTTATGCCCATTTTAAAGACCAACATCATCATAAAATATACTAAGATCCTATTCATATACATTTAAAATTTGTGACCGCGTCATCATATGATGTTTAACCTAAAAATGGTCTAAAAGACTTATAAATTTAAGATTCATATTTTATGACAATTATGATTGTCATCACCATCATCATAATAAGCATTGCCATCATGATCATCATGATCATCATTGTCATCATCATTGTTATCATCATCAAACTTACTACTTTCTATTATTTTGGTTCCAATGAGAGCTTTCTAAAATATTTTGATTAAATGAAAGACATTACAAAAATATATTTATAATATACTTAATATATTATATATATATAATATATTAAGTATATTTTATGATTTTGCGAACTAAAAATATTTATAAAAATAGTTTTTTTAAATTTTTTTTTTTTTTTTAATAATACTTTAATTTATGTTAATAAATAAAAATAACTTTGTCCAAAATGTTGTTGATAAACAACAACAAAATTTATGAAGATGAAAAAAATCTCGAAAAAAAAAAAAGAATGGAATTATTAACCTAAGCATTAAATATTGCATCATCAATAAACACTACAATCCAGGACATTTTTATAATTTTTAACAAGATAAATTATAAAGGATTAAAAATTTAGAGAAACATTATCTGCTACCATAATTAAAATTTAATTTCTAAAAAATTTTTTTTTTTTTAAAGAATGTGTTAGCATTTCAATTAGATCAACTTTTTAAATTGTATTAAATACAAGTAAATTCTTGACTTTCATCTTATGAAACGCAAAACTTTTTCTGGATAACTTTCTCATAGTCTCATAAACTTTTAATATTCCCATTTAAAATTACTCTTAAAAAATTTATGTGCTTCGAAAATTTATTTTTACAAAGAAGGTACATAAATTCTGACTTGCTTAAGTGTTTGTATGTCTCCGGACATTTTAGACAAATGCTTAAAACATCATCTTGGAGTTCTTGCTAAATGAATTTTAAGAGAATGTCTCTGAAAACAGCTTTTTTCAGAAGACATTTTCTTAAAATTTTGTGAGTATCAAAGATTAGATTATCATTTTTGATCAGTTGATGATGACGCAATGATGGAATTAATGACATTTGCTTGCTAACTTTTTAAAATCATTTAATGATTAGAATTTTTATTTTGAAAATCTGTTCTTTTGCCTTTTATTTATTTATTTTTTTTTTACTTTTTCTTGAAAGTATTATTTTAGTTCCAAAAAAAAATCACATTTAAATGTGGATATAAGAATCTAAATTAGATATACAATGTCAGTTGTAAAATCTAATCTAATGATATATAAATTTATAATTTTATTTATACATAATTTTAAAGTGTATACAACTTTAACTAAATTATACCAATAATACATTCAAAATATAATGTACAAAAAAACTTGTTCAAAGTAATTTTTTTTTAAAACTTAAAACTTCATTTTGAGCCATATTATCTACTGCTTACCATGAACCTATACTACTATTGTTATTGATGCGTGTTTACCAAAACAAATAAAGTTAAATGAAGTCGTCAAAGTTCAAAGAGTTTGTATTTGAGAGGAACTTTAAGCTTAACGAACGAAGATGAATGGAGATGCATAGAACTTTAAGCTTAACGAATGAAGATGAATGGAGATGCATGGAACTTTAAGCTTAACGAATGAAGATGAATGGAGATGCATATAGATGAATGGAGATGCATGGAGCTAATATGTATCTTAAAAGGTATTTCTAACATTGAAAAAATAAATAAGCTTTTTTTATAAAATGGAAACACAAATATGTATGGTTTTTAGATATGTGACGGAATATACTTTTAAACCATCAGCCATCAGCTAAACCATCTTTTTACTCAAAAAAAATCCGTCTCTTCATTTAAATTATAAAACTAATTATTTGGCAACATTTTAGCTAACTTCTAAGCAATTTTTTATTTATATAAGCATAAAATATCTCTTAAAAACATCAATAAAAATTTTTATCTGTTAAAAGCATCAAAAACATCTTAAAATTTCAAGAAATGCTTCAGCGTAAATAATATGCCTTTTTTTTTAACATTGTTCATTTGCCATATTTCAATTTCACACATGGTTTTTGTAACGGTATTTGGAACCTTTTATGTTTTCAAGCATTGCACTTCCATCTATAGAACTTCCGTGGTTACCCTTTAGAAATCCTTACGGTTTTATCACTTTAGAAGATTATTTAACTTGGAAGTTCACACCTCCTTTCTTCTCAAAGTCGCTTATTGGTTTATAAATTTAAATTTTCTTTGCAATTGGCACAAGACTTTTTTTAGACGTCTAAAAAAACGTTTAAATACGTTTTTTAAACGTTAAAACACGTGTTGTAACCAATAATCTTTAATGCCTTTTCTTTTGTTGAACGTAAAGAAAATTTTTATTAATTTTAACTTGCTGAAAGTTAATGATGTTGTGATAATGATATAATATGTTTAACATATTATGTTAGTGATCCGACAAAATATATTTTGAAAACTTTTTTTATAAATATGATTAAAAATAGAAATCAATACACTTTTCCTTCATTTAAAATAAACTATTGATTCATGTCATCTTTAATATAGCAAACATAATCTTGCCTCTTTGTGCGTGTTTTGATATGGCGCATTTTAAATAAACACAAACGACATAAGTACAAAAAAGGTATAAGTACAAAAAGGTATAAGTACAGCTTGCTAAAATATAATTTTTGGATTCTGAAACCTCTCCTTCTTCACCCGAGTCGCCAACCTCTTCTTTTAAGTCATCTTCTTCTAAATGCAAACAGAAATATCAAAGAGCAAATACTAAAACAGTGGGTTTACTTGTACCGAAAAATAAAATTTCTAAACATAAAGCACATGATGTTTATGCAACCATTGCTGAACAAGGTCTTAATAAGCCGGTTACAAGTCGGTTGGGTGTCTGGAAATGAGAAACCTATAAATGAAAATAATTAAAACCAAAATTGTTCAAAAATGTCTCCAAATTTGTCTCTAAATTGATGATAAAAGATTGGGAAGGGATGAGTATCAAGTAGTTCTGCTGAAAAATATGACAACCAAAATAAAACCTGGTTATCTTAAATTTGGGAGTGGGTCTGCCGCGACTATTAACGAAGAACTACATCAGCTAATTATTGAACTCAATGCTTGGGCAAATATTTGCATGATTATTTGTGACACAACTGTACTAAGTAATGGTCGTTTGCACGAGATTGAAAAGCTCATACAGGATGATGTCTTGAGCAAGGGCTTTCAGAAACTACAATATATTGGCTGTTAGCACCATTTTTTTAAACCTCCTTTTGAAATATGTCATGGATTTTCTCATTCAAGAACCAACAAGCAAACCAGAACTCAATTATTCCTTCATTAACAAATTAACAGAAAATGTCTCTCGTCAGGATCCTCGTTGTGACAGATGATGGTAACTCAGGCGAGAACTCTGTATGGCAAGATAACTTTGAGTTCTTATATGAACTATGTCAGGCATGTCGTCTTTATAAGACAACTTCACTTTGGCCTCAAATTAGCTGAAAGAAACTCCCAATTTCAGGCAAGATGGAACTCACGTGCGATATTTGCTCCAGCACGGAAGTTCATAAGCTACAAATGAGCAACACTACAATGAAGCGTCCTTGGATGACCTGATTAAGGAGGCAATTAACTTTTTAAAGACGCAGTGGTCAATACACACTAAAAAAAGGTAGAAATTTCTACTAAAGGTAAGATATGTGATATACCCTTAGTAAGATGTAATTTTCTACCCTTTAAAGTAGAAAATTATACCTTAAAGATTGAAAATTGAAACACAAATCATTATTTTTAATATAATTTTCTACCTTAAAAGGTAGAAAATTATACCTTACTAAGGGTATATCTTATATCCTACCCTAAGGTAATTTCTACCTTTTTTTTAGTGTGTAGAGGAGTCATTAATTGACATTTCTAGATTTAACCAAGTTGCTAAACATGCGGTAAAACTGATGAAGGAACTTCGTGCGAAATCGAGAAAAATTAAATTTTTGAATATTTCTTGTATATTTTGTACAGATTACTAACTGTTCTGCATTTTATTTGTTAGCAAAAGTTGCTTAGTTATTACCATTACTTTTTTAAATAATGCTTAAAAAAACATTTCATTTTTTGGAAAAAAGGCATTTTTTTTCTAAATAAGAGGAAAAAAATTAAAAAAAAAAAAATCAAAAATGCAATTTATATTTTTAAATTACACAAAAGTTTTCCTTTATTGCAAGTGATTTCATATAAGTTTGTTTTTTTTTTATTACCCTAATGTTTGTTCATCATGTGTTAACCTTAATTTATGTCCCATTTGAATTTTTTCGATGATTACTTGTTTCATCACTTCCTTTTTATCAGAAAAATCTTGATCAATTAAATTCATCACAGTAGTTGGACTTTTATGAAGATGATTTCCTCTTTGTTGAGTCGATGAGCGAATAAATTTGTTGCTAGTTATCGTATTAATCGAAGCACCGTCTGTAGCTAGATCACCATCTGTAGCTAGATCAGCTACAGTTTTTTAAGACTTTTTTTTTTTAAATAACTGTCCATGGTTTTAATTTTTTTCCAGAGGTGGATTTGAGTTGCTGTTTGATTCTCCTGTCAAAGGTCTATTGATAGTAATTCCATGATGCAAAATATGATTCCGCAAAGTAGTTATGGATCCACCGTACAGTGGGAACATTCCATTGAAATAGGTAGCCAAAAATGTAATCGTTGTATTTATGTGGATATTAAGCCTTAAATGAGTAAAATAGAGACAAAATATTATATTTTTAATTTTAATGTTTAACCAGCTAACAGGCGCAGCAT